AATGATTCCTAATCTTTGTTGGGCACTGAGTCGATGGATTTATTCAAGAACATATATTGAGTCCTATTACATACAGGTACTGAGCTAGTAGCTGGGATTTAATAACAGCTGCAGCCCCTGTCTCCATAGAGTTTTCCAGTCTAGCAGATTAAGAATCTGAAAGCTGTGGACCCCCTTCTTAGAAAAATATACATTCATGTAAACTGGCATAAAATTGCTAGAAATTAATGGCAACCTATACCAATGCTATAAACTCCTCGTATTTTCTCTACTCAGTTCTTGTCATTTACACTTCTTTGTTTACACAGCCAGATAGTAGGAAGGGAATGCTACCTCTTTCTGACTTCACAGTTTGAGCCACTTCTTTCATCTCTTATTTCCAAGTCATTTAAGCTTCTTTCCTCGTCACCCAGGCAACAAGCTGACATCCTTTTCTTGTCCCTAGGCACCTTTTTTCAGACCACAGTTTCCTCATGATAGTGTTGTTTTATTTTTCTTCTGGTTTCATCCTTTCTCTACTCTCTTCCTCTGTTCACAGCAAGCACCTACTCATCATGCCACTGAACGTTATTTTAAAGAAAATTGCTTTGCCAGCCTCCTGGAGAGGTCTTCTCAGTTCTTCTCTTTTATGCTTATTATCCTTTATGAGATAAAAGGGTATAGAGCAACCTTTGTAGATGAACTTCATAACATTAACTCATAAATTCCTCTGGCAGCCAAACTAAATATGTGCCAAACTCAGTTTGCCTTGGTATTTTTGTGGACAGCTCCCAGGGCAGGAGCTGAATCATGGGGAAAGAATCTCAGATCCTTCTTTCATGTGCCAGGACATATTCTTACATGTGTCACCCATGTGCAGTTACCAGTCAGCACCTAGCCCACTGTTGGCACTCCTTAAACATTCACTATTAATAACCATTGTCCTCACAGTAATTTCAGCTAGGAGATAAAATTAGGTGGCGAGTTAAAATCTAGACTAACCTCTGTGTCACCTTTCTTCTACAACTGCTGCAAAGGAGGGAAAAAGACTTCACTCTACAAGATGTGGGGCTGTTTTCTACTCATGAACGCGTGCTCTTCTTTCACTGAAGGAAATCTATGATCATTAACGAAGGGCTGTGAAAAGATCCATCTTCCATTTTGAAAGCTCTTTCCTTCGTTTCTAGAGTGTTGTGATTTTTTTTACTTTTTAGTATATGCAGCACTTTCTAGAACTAGTACTACAACGAAAATAGTTAATTTGGTTTTCTGGTATTACCACAATAATTTCTAAATTTTAGAGATGAAAAATAAATCTAGATTTTGGTTACCTCTCTTTGAATTCGGTTTAGCCAGTATTTTATTACAAGTCTCCTATAGCATCAGAATGACATGACAAAATTTACATGCCCACTACAATGGATATGATAGTATTTCCAATTACATTTTCCATTAACACAGATTTTGTCCTCATTAATATTATTGTCTGTTACATTTTCCTTGCAAATGCTCCGGATTCATGCAAGAGACAGCTATTGAGGAAAGATAGTTTGTCTTGTTTTGACTAGTATTTCCATTAGAATGAGAAACATTAACCTTCAGCTTCAGAAATGCTCCTTAGAGGGATAGATTAGTAGAGAGGCTTGTCTTAGAGTCTGCTTCTCAAAAGCAAATAAATGCAGGCACAACTGTGACTTCATATTTTAAGTAATCATTTTGCAGCCTTACGTGGGTTTTTGTTTGAATGAATGTGTTGAAAAGTAAAAATAGGCTTATCCCTTTGTTGCACATTTTTTTAATTTCTTTTAATTATGCCACTAATTTCATCTAAAAAGAGTTTCTTAACTGTTTTGTATTAAAATCTTTAGTGACATATTAATAATGAAAAAAATTTTAGATTCACTTTAAAATGCCAAAACTTAAAGTATGATTTATTTGGTTGGATTTTGGAAAGGCTGACCTTTTAATAAAATAACCTGTTTGGGGCTCTATGAACTGATATAATACAAGAAAGAACCTAGCTCACTGTGGAATCTGGAGTCTTTGCTTTTTTGTGTATTTTTAAACTAAATTAACCCAGAAGAGAAGTCATCCTTAAAACTAGCAATTTCTAGATTCTGAAAGATATCACTGAAAATACAGATTTCCAGAGTTCTGTTTACAATAGAGTTTATACCTTATGCTTCAATTTGATTCCTTCTAATAAGGTGTTTTCCATTATGGAAATACTTTATGCTTTCATGTAAAATCTAGAAAATTCAAACTATAACCTGATACTTAATTTATTTGTCAAAAGAGCAAAACATGTCGGAATAATACATGAAAGGGTATTACATTATCTGGAAGATGTCATTTTATGTCAATATTATAAGGTTAATGAAGTGTTAAATTCTTTCAAGATATTTTTACATTCTTTATGCTTTCTAAGCCTACTGCTTAGGAGAGCTTAGAAGCATACCTTTGATAACAAATAAGACGTTCATAATAAACAAAAGACTATTTCCCTTTTTCTTATCCTGCTTCAAAAAAAAAGAAAAAGAAACAGAAAGGAGGGAAGACAAGGCTTTCCAGTCAAAACTGAGAATTAATATTGATCACAAGATCTTAAGTACAGAACTTTATTTGCCTTGATAAAGTTTGAGACTGAGTCTAATGTAGCCCCATCAAGTATTTATGAAATGATTAACTCTGTTATTTCAACTTCACTATATTTCATGGAAACTTTAGGATTTTGTTATTGGTTATAATATTAGAACCAGAAAAATTTAAAAGCTCTATTTATTCAGATTCACTTCCAATTCCATCCAGTCACAAAAGGCTACTGAAGCTTTGTAGTTGATATGGATTTTGGAAATTTGTTATGTCAATTTTCCTCTATTGTGAGGCCAAACAGTAAATATTTATGGTTCCATGTGGTCCTTTTATTAACACTGTGTGGTTCCTTCCTGTGCTAACTGCATTATACAGTACACTCTATGATCTCTTTATTCTTGGCTCTGGTAAGCTATTAGTTAGGCTATTTATCCATGTCCTGTGTAGGGAGGGAGAAGAGATGGAACAAAAAAAAAATCACCAATCATTTGAAGCCAGGAAAGGAACAGGATCAATAAACTCTGGGGATGGAAAAAGCCAGGCCCAGCCTGACAGGAACAAGTCTTAACTAAGATCACATGGGTAGACTAGTAGTTAATGGTTCTCTGACCTGAACAAGGAATGTCACCTGAGGCTCCAGGCAAGGTGAGCTCTCTCAGTATTTGCTCCATAACATCCTGGATATTTCTTTGAGAACATGCATGACACTTGGCACTTATACATTCAGTATCACCCTTCTGTGCTAAATTCTATTTTTTTTTTTAATTGAGGGACAATCGACATGTAACATTGTTAATTTCAGGTGTGCAACATGATTCAATATTTGTATATTGTGAAATGATCACTGTAAGTCTGGTTAATTATCCATCACCACAACTTTTTTTCTTGGCGGTCATTATTCTGTTAATTTCTCCCATTCCAGTGCCTAGAACGTAGTATGTGTTCAGTAAACACTTGCCAAATGAACGAATGGAAAAGGAGATAGGATATACATGCAAATAACATTTCTTTTACAGTTAATAGGGCTATTTTTATACATGTTTTTCATTTAACTTTCACAACTTAATGAAGTCTTGTTCTTGTATCAGAAAAAGGAGCTAAAGTACAAAGAGATTTACCCGCTGACGATCTTGCAGCTAGTAAGCTGGTATTTAAACTCAGGTCTCTGACTTTAAAACCCATTCCCTATCTGCCATACCATATTGTCTCTCCTGAGAGCCACTCAGTTTTTTTCAGTACATAAATATTTAATGTGTTTTTTTATGGTGCAACATTTTTGACAAGAGTTTGGTGTGTGATATCTCAGTTGAAAATTATGAAATTAATTTATGTATTTACTGCTTTAACTGAAGACATAAGACGTATAAACAACAAAATTTGAAACCAAAAATATTTTGCTATTTGATAATGCCTCTTTAGGAGAAACAGATAAGCAAGTAGACAAGTGCAATACTCTATGGTAAGCACTCAGGAGAGTGTGGAACCCAAACTAGGCTAACTCATATTTGAAGGAAGAGCAATTTTTGCTAGTATATTGCTATGAAACCTCAACAACTTCCCCATGAACAGCCACTGAGCAGCATCACTAGGTCCCATATGCACATAAACCCTGGGCCCACACCAGCAGCCCACAGTGTGATGCAGGCAAGGCAGCCATGCCAGATTCAGAGACCGGCAGGGCCTGAAATTGAGAATCAGGCTTCGAGGAGCAGCAGGCAAGTGAAAGAGCAACCTCAGGGAATGATCAGAGCATAGCAGGGCCGGGCCAACCATGCGGATGGGATGGTGAGTGAGTGCTGTGCTACGTGTGTCCATGGCTCTGTGAGTTGTTGTAGGTTTATGTAAGAGGGACCTCTCCATTGCTGTGCCAGCAAATCAGCCAGGAAGTCCAGAAGTTCCTGTAAGTTAACATGGTCTTTCTAGCATAGCGTGAATGATAACCCATTAAATGTGGTACGATGCATATACTGAACACCCATATACGGTGGCCTCGACTCCAGACACGGTGACCTCTTTGCTAGTCCTCAAACATATACAAAATGATCATGCTTCAGGGCCTTTACACTTGCTTTCCCTCTTCCTGGAATATTTCTCCACAGAAGGCTCACTCTCTTGTTTCCTTCATGTCTCTGCTCATATGCCACCATAGAGAAAGGACTTCCCTGACCATCCAATATAAAATAGCAGATCTTGGCCCCTACCTCCATCACCCCCTTAACCCTGCTTTATTTTACTCCATAGTCCATATCACTACCCAACACTTTTTCTCTATTAACTATCTCCTATAAGATGCATTAGGACAGAGACCTTATTTTGTCCACTGAAGTTTTATGCCTATCTAGCAAATAGTAGGTACTCAAAAATGAGTAAATTTTATGTTTGTATCTCTAGCACCTGTCATGTAATGGACAGCCCTATTATACATATATAATAATGTGATACTAGTAAAATTTTGACCTGATTCTCATTGTTAGAATAAGAGAATCTTATAGAAGTTATCTATTCTAGCATCCTATCCAGGGTGGCAATCTCTCCCTCCCACTTGCCTGACTCCCAGGCTTCATTTGTTCCCTGTGAAGGGCAGATCACTAATTCATTCACAAGGTGGTCAGTTGTTGTATTACATAAAAATCAACTGTCCTCAGAACTCCATCCAATGTACTTGAACCTGTTCTACTGAATGCAGCTCTGTCAGTGCAAGAAGCTTGTATGTCTCACACGGAGCCCAGCACAAAGTGGGTGCCCCAAACCATGTTGTTGAAGGAATGAATAAAATTCATACATTTTGGAGAAAGAATATAAAAATTTTCAGATTTTAATTTTCTTACTTTGAAATTGATGCTAATTCAGATGTAGCAGTCATAAAAAGTATGCATTTTTACATTAGTTTGGATGTGCGTGGAATTTTGGGATTTTACATGTGTGGTGTGAAGCACTGCAGGGAGCAGAGAGTCAGTGATTGGCATTGGCAGAGAACCTTGGCTGCCTGCACAGCCCAGCCTTGGGCCACTGGGTCTCCCCACCAGCATCCTCAGCTGCAGGCCATCAGCCTGGAAGCACACATTTTACTAGTATTTTTCTGTATTTAAAATCCTTCAGTGTCTTTCCTTTATCCTCTACAGGATAAAATCCAAACTTAGCCCAGCATACGAGATCTTTCACAGTCCATCATCTGCTTACCCAACACCCTCATCATCTGCTAGCCTCTCTTCCTATCCCAAGGGCTGGCCAAACACACCCTGATGTCATGACTGCTTTTGCACTTGCCCCTCCTCCCAACCCCTCTGACCCACACTTTCTGTGCCCAAATCAAAATTGCTGTTGCCGACTCATGATGGGAACGCGAGTAGTTCTATAATATTTCTTCATAATGCATTTAAAATTCTGCTGTACCCTTGTAGCACATTTCACCTCAAATTGCAGTTGTATATGCTTCACCTCCAACTCCTCTCTCTAGCCTTTTGAGATATGGCAATGTTTTGCTCATCTTTATATGGTGCACGATAAAAATAAAAAACAATAGTCTTGTATGCTTCAGACACCATGCCAGAGGCCTTTCATACCTTCTCTCAGATCTTCAAAGGCACCTTGCAAGATTGGTATTATTAATGCCATTTTATAAATTAGGAAGTGGAGGCTCAGAGAATTGCAAGGGCCCAGTCAGAGCATCAAGCCAGTAAATGTCAGTCACGCTTCAAATCTAGATCTGCCTGTGAGCAAAATCCATGTCTTTTCCACTGTGGAGTAGAGCCAGTGGTTTGATGTATGTTCCTTGTGAAGGAAATGCCACACTTAACAACATGGAATCATATTTCTTATATTCTTACCTTTTTTTTATATATCTCTAAGGTAACAAGTATTAGAAATCTTTATTGAGATAACATTTATTTGCTGTATGCAGATTCTAACGCACACATGATTGGCAACACTGACCCTGTAACTTTTAAAAAGCTGAGCACCAGATTTGGTCATTCAACCCTGGTTCACTTAGGATTCATCTCAAGGAACAAATAATTTTTATGATATAAATGCATAATCTGCTTCTCCCCCCACCCCAATAGACAAACAGCATTTTTAAAGTGTCTTAAAGCCCCAGATTTACTTGGCATTTCTATCTGACTGTAGTAGCTCATGATAAACTGATTGATGATATTTCATTTTATCCCAAATGGGAAGAAAATGCCAGTCCTCATGCATCATTTCATGGAACTGTAATAGTAAAAGCCCTGTCTATTCCCTTGGTGATTTCAAAGTAGGTTGAATAGCTATTAACAGTAGCTGAAAATCTTAGTAGTGCTTTATTTTAAGCATAAGAACATTTCTCATTATGGAATCATCTATGATTTCCAGATGTTTTTGGTTTTTTCATTTAATGATGGTATTTTTGCTAAAATAAATTTCCAGTTATTCTCAAAGAAAACCTTTGGTACAGGTAAGTGCTACTTGAGAAATTCATTTGCGAGTAAACTTTTGTTTATAATTTTATGAAAGAGAGGAGAGTGACAAGGATTGGGTTGATAAGGTACCAAAAGATCAAAATAAAAAAGAATTAATTTCAGTGCAGTTGTTTAGAACATAAAATCATTTAGCTAAACTAGCAGTTTTGGGGGTAAGGTTTTTCCATCCCCCAGATATCCCAGCCTTATGTAGGTGCCACAAATAAGCAAAACCAAGTGTAGCCAAGTATTTAATACTCAGAGTAGATGAGTAGTAGGAAAACAAATGACAGTTGCATATTTGTAAGATATAAATTATGCATTACCGACTTGCCAGCTCTTGGCTTTTTACTTAAAAAGAAAAGAAAAAAGTCGTGCTCCCTGTGTAATTCTGGCTCATTTCCAGAGTCCATATTCCTTACTGCTAACTAAGATAAGACGCCAAACCTCTGAGCTGTTTGAATTTGCGCAACAATGTTTTAATACCCACAGCTCCTCCATAAATAGTCTGTTCTCCCCATACTTGGGGAGAAAACAACCACAGGAAATCTGGGAATGTGCAGCTAGCTCCACGCTTAATTGATCTAAGCCAGCAGGAGAGCACGCGTGTACACAGCCTCTGCTCCTGGCCTTGCAGGACTGTTTACCCAAGGGGCAGAGAAGTCTGTGTGCAAAAGACACCATGTTGCTTCTACAGCCTTAGCAACAGCAGTAGCTGGAGTGTCGTCGTTGTTTACAGTCTGGAGAGCCAGCCCTCCTTTAAGGAAACACAAACTCCTTTCCCTCATTTCTGGCCCCAGGCAGTAATCATCAAGACTGTCAGCTGCCTGCAGTTGTCAGGAAGAGCAGCCTTCAGAAATCATCTTGTCTTTCTTACAGAAGAAAAGTTAAAGCCGGGCAGATGGACGGTTGCTTTGTGCATGCGAGTGGCCAGCTAGTATCCAGGGGGCATCAGGCTATGATTTTGATTTCTGTGCCGGGTGCATCAGCAGCCGTGGTTTGGGAGGTTTCATCCGGAAGGAGTGGAATTGCTGCAGACATTTTGGGGTTTTGGTAAGCAGTAGATATTTGGGGACATTGTGCTGTTATTACAGAGCCCCACAATGAAGATCCAAGAGCATCCCAGCATACCTGACACCAAATTGCAGAGGACTCCAGATGCTGACGCCCAGCAGGAGAGCTTTGTCTCAGAAGTGCCCCAGCTGGACCTGACCGCATTGTGTGATGAGAAGAGCTGGGCAGGTAGGGTCGTCTGATATTTGGATGATTTCATAATGGAAAAGCATATATAAATTAGCATAGATGAGAGACATGTAAGCACGCAGATGTATGGGTGAGAGTGAGAGCTATGCGTGCAGAAGTAACTGCGTTTCTAAATGACTGAAAATCCTTTCCCTGGCATAGGAATGTGTCGTGTTAAGTGCTGCTAAGAGTAATTGCAGTCTGAGAAAGAAAATGTGCTTGCCTTTTATCATAGTGTCACCTTGCAGTTCTTTTCTTTTTCTTTTTAACTCACCAGAAGTGCTGATACGTGTGCGTTTTCTCTCTAGTAGTACCGAGGGGAGCCATGAGGAACCGGTATGCACTTACGGTTCCGTCTCAGTATAACCATCGCCCCTCCCCCCCATGCCAGCCATCACCCTCCTTCATTAAATCTCCTTCCCATTTTTCAGGGATAGTTTGGATGCTTTGCTTCTATGTTTGTTCTTATGGACTTTTTAAAACCCAGGTTAGCAAATGTAGGAATTTGCTTATCAAAGAGAACACTAAATACTTTTTTTGAAAGCCTATGATACGCTGGTTTTGATTGTTTTTTTCTAGAGACTTTTGGTGAAAACCTTAGAAATGTACTGGTGAGGAAGAAGAGGGTATCCTCATCTTGTCAGAGCTGTATTTCAGGAAAGATATTGTAGCAGCTTCCTCAAGCTGCTTTTCTTTCACTCTCCAGGTGTCTGCATCCACTTATTAGTGTGTATCCAAAATAAATGCCCATCTCCCTCTATGCATCGTGTGTGCTTCAAGGCTACAAAGAGGGAGCAGTCGTGCCTGAGTTCAGAGCAGCAGCATGACTTGATGATGCCTTAGCAGAGAATCACAACTACGAAAAAGCATTCTTTTTTTAAAGTGCCTGGATTTCCTTGTCTTCTTTCCCCCGACCTTTTTAAGCTAAAAAAAAAAAAAAAAATCATTATGGTAATGATCTTAGATGAAGGACCAAAAGGTGATAAAAAAAAAGACCTCAAGGAGAAAAATAGCAACTGTATTTATGCTCCTGGCACCCAGGGCTGAGTGAAGCAAAAACCATTTTTTATTCTAGTTCTCCCTCTTTTCAATCTAAGAATCGTGTTCTAGTTCTTTTCATATAATTTGGCAGTTGGTCTGAGATTTTGTCAGGTCTTCCCAGCTCATGATACATTCACTGGGAAAAAAAAAAATGCGAGGTGTTTTGTTTTGTTTTTAAGTGGTACATTCCTGGCAGTTTTTCATTATTCTTCTTTTGTGTAGTTTGAAATAATCCAGTATGTTTTTAATTCGTACATTAAAAACACCCCTTCCCTCCCCCCCCCAAAAAATAGTACCATAGTAACCATTGTCAACTAAATAAAAGAAAAAAACACTCATCAAAAATGAATGCTATATTTGGGTTTCAAAAATGTGGTCCACTTCACAACATTAACATAAAGCCCTGGGTGAAAACTAGGATTTTTGGCCAGAATTCTAATTAGCTGCATTATCTTGATGATTTATTCAGTAAAGGGACAGGTAGGTTCTTCCTCCTACTTCTAAAATGGACTCAGTTTGATTATTTTTATCTTGGTTAATCATAAATCTATAATCTCTTATAGCATGCTTACAGAGGCAAATATAAAGCTGAAAATTTTCTCCAGGGTGGTTGAAAGTTAACTTATAGTTTCCTTAAAACTGTTTCATTATTTAATATAAAGAACTTTTGTCCAGATAAATAATAATAATATGAAGGAACCAACATTTTATTTTGTACTGGGAAACTAGATAGAATTTAAAAAGCTTATTGGGAAAAAATACATTGTGTTATCCATGTAATTTATGAAATGACTTGTTTTAAATTTTTTTGCCAATTACTGTATTATCATTGAACTTACATACCTTAAATATCTACATAGATTCATTTCAAGGCCATTTTAATTATTTGGTTACTGATTTCAGTGACCATTATTATATATTTTAAATTTCCAAGTTACATTACAGCAGTAATATAGCTATTATAAGTATAATCAAAATAAAGAAATTTTTGCATAAAGGATATTTAAGATGAGAGCAATAAGTCCAATCACTAAAATACCACCTTTTTTATAGCGTTGGTAGAAACAGACAAAATGCCGATTGTCCAATAAGGAATAAACTTTGCACTGATTTAAACTGTGAATGTGAAACCAATGCAACAAAATATGTAAATGGAATAGTTAACAAAATCATTTGAGCCAATATGCGTCTGTAAGTGTCTACTGCCAGTCTCCAAGCCACCATACAGTATAACTCCCTCTTTTTGGGTTGCTTATTTGTTCCTTGTTCTCACACCACAGTTCAAACCCAAGTTCATACAGACTCATAGACTATCAGGAGAGACAGTACTTAATGAGCAGTCTGCTGGTACAAGCTTCTGTGGTATATGCTTCCATGTGGAAATGATATTCTCCAATTTCTGGGACATACTGTACCAGGAAAACAAAAAGTGGAATGAAACTAATAGATTGCATAGGCTACAAAGAGTAGAACCCTCTCCAAGTGAAATCAGAATCTAATCATGCTTCTTGTCCGAAAAATAAGACATGCTTTCTCTTTTTTCCCTCATGCAGCTATGTATTAGTGTATATTATTTGATGTTTAGTTCGAAGTATTAGTTTTTGAAGTATTATTCAAAGTATAGTTTCAAATAGCCTCAGTTTGCCTTCTTTGAAACCTGAGCCCAATTCCATGTAATGACCATGGATAGCTCTGAACACAAGAGTCAGTAATTACCAGGTCCTCCGCAGATTTACCAAGAACCAATCATGTCACACCAACTAACTTCCTTCCTTCCTTCCTTCTTTCCTTCTACCCTCCATTCTTCCTTTCTTTCTCTTTCTTCTTCCTTCCCTCCCTCACTTACTTCCTTTCTCCCTCCATCCCTCTCTGTCTCTGACTCTGTTTTTCTTTCTGTCTCTTTCTCTTCTCTTCTCTTCTCTTCTCTTCTCTTCTCTTCTCTTCTCTTCTCTTCTCTTCTCTTCTCTCTCTCGATTAAGGAAATGGTGCATTTGAAAAGGCCTCCACTGGACCTTTCACTGGGACTTGGGACGGCCCTGTCAGAGATATGGAAGGATAGAAACAGGTATGATAGTGAATTAGTAACTGATGAAGCAACTGCACTTAAATGCGCAGATGCGTGGATCAAAATTAGTAAAGCCCTTAGCCCTACCCTGTTCCACACGTTTATTAATGACTTAAACGAAGCTATTGAGTGCCTGGGGCAATGCAAATATGTGAAATTTAAGGATTAAATTTGGGTTGATAAAACTACTAAGCTTTCTTCTAACTCTGACAGTTTGAAAGACTATTTGAACAATTTAATAGGACTACCATTGTTCTGTGGTTAAAATTTGAACACCGAAGGAAATTTTATGAAAGGATTCCCCCAGTAAAGACCCTCCCTAATGGGGATTGACATGTCTATATGCCTGGGATGTGCAGTACCTCAGAGCATTTGAAAGCCAGTATGTCTTCATGCCAAGTAGTAATAACATAGTTGAAAGTGAGATGTGGAAAACATCAGTTCCCTTAATTCTGTGCAGAGTTCTTAGAAATAAATCATCTCAGTAGCCAATTTTCTTTAGTATAGTAAATGGATCCAGACAGCTAAGCAGAGAGTGTCTCTATCCCAGTGACTGCATTAACGTTAGAGCTCTGTTCCCTGTTCCTACAGTGAATTTCCTTTATTTCCATGTGTGTTGTGGTGTCTGAATTGGGTTCCCCCAGGACCATTCTTTTTTATTACATAGGTAGCAAGCATACAGCTTTTATCTCTATTATTTCTGAACTGTGGTGATGTCAGCTGACCTGGGTGGATTAATTTCTAATAGAGAGACACGCCACACTTATGTCTAGAGTTCTTTGTGACAAGACACATGGCTAAAATCAAAATCACTATACCCAGGGAATTCTCGTCTAGATATGAAAATCGAATTTGAAGCTTCAAATCTTTTCTTCTTTCTCTTTGAATAATTTTCTTGCAATATTCTTGTCTGTTTTGTTACTCTAGAGTTACTGGTTAAAATATAAAATATTTTCCCAACCAGCAATTGGGAATTGTCAGTGAATACATCTTAAAACTGACTCTCTCTGCAGGTAATATAATTTGACATAGTATCGTGTACCACACTATTCTTTTTCCTTCCTTCTCATTTTTTTTTCTATTTGAATGCCAACTATTAAAACACGAGATAGCCTTATACTTTTAGATTGTTTCAAACTAAAACAGAAAGAATAATTGGTTTTATTTATTCTTTACTTATATTGAACTATGTATTACATGTAATTTTATAACTCTTTTGAATAGGAGCCTTGAATTATAAAACCGTATGGGATAAAAGAGAGAAAAAGAGATAATTCATATAAACATTTCATGTTGCATAGGTGAGAAACTTCTACATGCAGGCTGATGATCAAGCATACCTTTTTTTTTATTAAGGTTGAAATTCATAATGGTTTTACATTTCTCACTTTAAAATAAGTGAATTCATCCACCCTAACTCTATTTTTAAGAGAAAATGTCACCCATAAATAAGCTTTATATTTCATATATAAACCCCTGGTGACACTAGGAAAACGACACACTTGGTCTTCTTGTCAGTGAAGTGGGTCAAGAATGGAGCCACAAAATACAGCTGTGCTCACAAAGAGAAAATCTGATGAATGGCCTCATGTGAGCCACAAAGCATGAAACAAGCATAATTCTGTTCCACGAATAGTAGTTTATAGTTAATTCAGAATCACAATATATCTTTTACTGGAGCCATGTTTGGTTAATGGTCACAGATACTCATTTTGCAAACAGAGACCACATAGTTGAAAATGTAAAAATTAGTCGTAACATTTTCTAAGAGGTATTCTGCTAGATTTGGACAAATTAAAGGGCTTTCAGGATTTAAGGTAACACCTTTTCCAACTAATTTTTGATAAGTGGAAATGCCAAACTAGCCAGCACACCCATATGCCAATATCAACATCAGACTATTTTGTCCATGCCCTTTGTCCCACTAAACCACCTTGCCCTTCCCCCTAGTTGTTTTCCTCCTTTCCTTCTCTGTGGTGAGGTTATTGCCTGCTGCATTACTGTACTGTCATAGCCATCTTAACCTTTTTCCAGACTTGGCTCCACTGATTTTAATCCTTGCAGAAAATTACTGCTGTTTAATGAAATATCATGAAATAGAAGATGCAATCTGGTCAGGTTAGTAGTTCCACTCTCTGCATCTTAACACTACATTTTTATTATTTTTCCAGGGATTTTCACTCACCCCTCCCCTCCTCACCTCTCAGTCTGTTTTTTCACTTGTATGTTGGCTGTTCAGAGCTGCTCATATCTGAGCCCAGCTCTTGGGAGGAGTCAGCTGATAGCATTAGTACAAATGATGAAGCAGCTCCTGTGCATCTCCAGCTTCAGCCAAGTAAATCTGCCAACATATTCACTACCACTTTTTGAGAGTGAATAGACAAGAATCTGTCTTCAACACTGCCTTCAGTTTTTGAAAATATTTATACTATCTGTGTTCCCAGATAAGTTGGTTCTCTTTATATCTTGAGAAACTATGGACCTCATTCCACATGAAGTTAATTTTTCTTTTTAATTAATGTGCTTCTCTCCTGCTACACAGTTGGGTCTTCAAAAATTTCAGATAGTCACCCTTGCTATTGAAGTGCCTGGCACATTCTAAATTGAAGCACTGTGCTGAAGTCAAGAGATTAGTTTCTCGTACCAACTGTTATTATTGATTAGGTATTTGCTCTTCTTTGGGTTTCAGTTTCCTTATCTATAATCTGTTGGGTTGAATCAGTTCTCAAACTAAAACAGAATCATTTAGTCAATTAGCCATTAGTCAGTTGCATTTAGGGTCACTTGTACAACTTTTAAGTGCATATGTGTACGTGTGTGTGGTTGTGTCTGTAGACGTGCATTTTACATAGCTGGACCCTCGCCTAAAAATTTCATTTAATTGGGTGGTGTGAGGACCTGTACTTTTACATTAGGAGTTATTTATATCTCCCTGTGTGACCCTAACGTGCAGCCAGTTTGAGAAATCACTAGATTAGATGATGTATGATGTTTCTTTCAATCAGGTCTAATGATCTATGATTATAATGTGATCTTTTTATATAAAATGCTGAGTATTTGTTTAAGATAATTTTGTAGATTTTATAAATACTTTGCTAGCTGAAGGAGCAACTGTTCCATGATTCAAACTGTAGGAATCCCAGAATTTAAGATCGTAGCCAAATTCTAGCCTTGTTTAAATCACAGTAATCCACAAATGTATTTAAAGCATAACTTTTTTTAATGCATAGATTATTACAAATGAAATACCCTACCTCATTTGAGACCTAGCTTTAGAATATATTAAATAGGATTTTTTAAATAAGGAAAGGAATATATTGAGGTAGGTCTTGCAGTAAATAAAAATAAATATCACCCTATTCCCTCCTAACATCACAAATCAGAATTTTGTGCTGAATATGTTTTTTATTAAAGATTGTCTAAGATAATTTGTACAGACTTGTCCTCGGTAAGATGTTGTTTTTTGTTTTTTTGTTTTTTGTTGTTTTTACTAATTTACATATGCATCTTACTTTAACTGCAGTCTTGAGCAGCTTCTGAACTTTGAGCTGCAGAGCATGCATCTTAAACATGCTAATCCCAACACGCTAAGCAGAAGCACCCAAAACAGCTTACTGAATGACCTCAATGGAAAGTGCAAACTCCTAAATAAATGGACTCTCACACGATTAATGTGATGCCTTAGCCGATTCCTTTAGTCAATAAAAGATGGATAGCCATGATCCCAGATATCTCCCTCCCTGATGCATGTGCATTTTTTTTTTTATAATGTCTTCACATGGAAAAGTTTTCGTCCATGATCTGGGGAGAGGGGGGCAGGAGTGGAAGCATTCTTGGCTCTCCTCTTTCAAGCCTGTTCCTCAGGGCTGCCCTAGCAAATTCTCTTTTGAGAGTAAGCGAGGATATCAGATTCATTTGGTGATTCTGGTCAGGACATAGTATCCCTCGTCTGAACCTTAAATCTAAAATGAGAAACTATTCAGTGCCTCCTAGATTCAGTGACTCCTTGGTACATTCAGAAAACTTGGCAGACAATTGTACTTTAAAGAACAGTTTTGACCTCTTAACCTCATTATTTTCCAGAGCCCATCCCGACTTTGTCTTCATGGCAGCAGGAGAACGTGAACTCCGATGAAGCACACCGCTCCCCACAGGCCGGGCTCCTGATTCGTCAGCTTCTGGATGAAGACAGCGACCCCATGCTCTCTCCTCGGTTCTATGCTTATGGACAGAGTAGGCAATACCTGGATGACACGGAAGTGCCTCCTTCTCCCCCAAATTCCCATTCTTTCATGAGGTATGTTTCTTTGTGTTACTGATAAGCAAATACATCATTGCTAGAAAGGTTAGTACTGCTGCTGATGGCCAGTAATATTTTTAAGTTAAGTTGTAAGTCTGTGAAGGAACGTGTTTGAAATTCTCCCTCCTAGGACACTGGCTCCATTACAGTATTTCAGTTGAACTGTGGCCCAACTGCAATATCACATATCGAATTTCCATTAGTACCTTCTTTCCAAAACTCTCTCAAATTTAACTTTGAGGTCCGCAGCAGATATTTTAGTCCTAACTTTGCCAATTATAAACGAGCTAAAGAAGATTAGACCCATTTAGTGGATGGGACATAGAGCTCGAAGTCACAAAATGAATTAGTAGTCAAATTTCTTTCATTAGTGAGGATGGAGACTGTTTGCACCCTCCCCCTCCATGCCGCGTGCTCACCCCCCAGCCCTCCCTGGCCGGCAGTGACTGACTGCCGGAGAATCTGACCCAAGTGCACCCCTCACAGGCGGCGGAGCTCCTCTCTGGGGTCCTACGATGACGAGCGTGAGGACCTGACACCCGCCCAGCTCACACGAAGGATTCAGAGCCTTAAAAAGAAGATCCGAAAATTTGAAGACAGATTTGAAGAGGAGAGGAAGTATAGAGTAAGTGCGTCCTCACAGGGTTCTCTTCATCCTCTCCCCTCCCTGGACATGACACGCCAGCATATCAATAATTCAGAGAAGTGATAAAGGTTAAGGGAGAGTTCTAAGGAATCTCAAAACAAAAAGGGAACCAAAGCTGAATAGTATACCCCGATAAACCTCGGACATCATGTATCAGCATTTTCCTCGCACAAGTATATTCTTACAAATAAATTGAGTGTTTTAATCTATATTTTGTAAACTTATCAGTGAGCAGAAATGGGAAAAACTGTTAAATGAAGTCTTTTGTTTGGCTAAAACCTCATTCAAGATTACCTTCTAAAATTTCGTTAGTATTGACCTTATTCTACTCTCAGCTCTATCCTAAGTATTTCCCATAAGAGTAGCAAAAAGGCATTTTTCAAGGTGGTTGCAATATAAAATATCACATACCACTCTGCTTTCTATACTGTTAGCCTGACAGGTTAAACCTTACAAATAATGGAAAAGGGGCTGTGGACCTCATAGAAGCCCGTGATCATAAAAATCCAGCATTTTGCCTCTGAGGAGGTATTTAAAAGCATCAAAAAAAAAAGAAAAGATATAAAGAAGGATAATAGAATTACACTAAAATTTTCTCTGATTAGTCATGGTTAATTTCTTATTCCAATGGGACTCAACTTTCCTTCCATTTTAAAATAAACTGATCATCAAATGCTTCTTTTTCCTGCCCCAATTCCTAAACATTTACTTTAATTTTCCTTTTCTCAGCCCTCCCACAGTGACAAAGCAGCCAATCCAGAGGTTCTGAAATGGACAAATGACCTTGCCAAATTCCGGAAACAACTGAAAGGTAGGTAAAGTTCTAGACCGAGGGCATGCTTTCTGTAAAAGAAGCTAGGTGCAGGATCCATGTCTCACTGCATGCCAAGGGTTACTGCTAAAATATTTCAGAAAGACAAGTTTCTTGAAGCTGCTTCTCAGAATTCAGGGGACACCTTTTCCATGTCTTCACGTGAACTCAATCATAGGGCAACTCAGGTCAGCCAAGATGCAAATTCTGCAACATTTCTTTATTTCCCTAAATCACTAATATAAGAATAATGGTTTCAATTCAACATCCATTAATTACCTCTTTAATCCAAGGTTTTATTTGTTGTGGTGTCAGGAAAACATGGACAGACACAGAGATGGATATAAAAAGCTTTCATCCCTGCCCCTCAAAAGAGTTTGCTGTCTTTTAGAAGATAGATTCATATAATCAGCTCAATAGAATACAAAGTAAAAATAATTCCAAAGTGAATTAAAAAAAAAAAAAGTCAGCCAGTAGTTGAGTGCTAGATCAATAAATATCTTTAAATACTAAGGGAATAAGTATAAGAAGAACAGAGAACAGCAAACAGGTAGCTGTGGCTAAAGCATGGATGTTAAATAAAATATCTAGAGCTTTCTCAGGAATTAGAGTTAGGGTAACTGTCCAGATAATCCAGGAAGACATTATCATTTTCTTCAGTTTTATGTAGTAACCCAGAGATTTCAACTAATATTATAATTAGATACTTTCTTTAAAAAAAAAAGACGAGCTAAGCAGTTATTAACACCACAGAAAAACAATTTGGGTTCACCAGACATCAATTCTCATATATCCCTTCCCCTAAATCTTTTCTACTAGAGTCAAAATTAAAGATATCTGAAGAGGACCTAACCCCCAGGATGCGGCAGCGAAGCAACACACTCCCCAAGAGTTTCGGTTCCCAGCTAGAGAAGGAAGATGAGAAGAAGCAAGAGCTGGTAGATAAAACAATAAAGCCTAGCGTTGAAGCCACACTGGAATCGATCCAGAAGAAGCTCCAGGAGAAGCGGGTGGAAACCAGCCGTCCTGAGGACATTAAGGTGTGTTGATTCTGTGAGGGCCCCAAGCTAACAGCATGCTAATCCTGAACCATTCCAGTCAACATGGAAGAAACATAGGGCATGTCACATGGATCTCAGTGGAAGAGTGATAATGACACTTTTTTAAACCTCCCACACCCTCATCTTCCATACTCTTAGATGTCTAGGGAAGCAGATGAAACAACTTCAGAGTGTTTTAACTGTAGGTACTTTGATTTTTTACTACAAATCGAAAGCAGAAAGCTCTGTTGTACAGATTGCAGAATAAATTTGTTTAGTTTAATACATGGTTTGGTGACTCTGTGAGGTGGAAGGATTATAGACAAACCTTTGGGACTGTATAACCTTAACTGTAGACATTGCTTGGGCCATTGAGCTAAGCCCAATGTGCCTCACACAGCCTTGCTTAACTTAGTGTTTAGCACACCTTTGCTGCCTCAGAGATGATACCGGTAGCTGATGATGATTCTGCTGTGTATCCATATTTCTAGCAAGAGGTCAGGAATAATTGATCCTAAGTGAGCTTTGGATAGAGTTAGGAGGAACTGTTTTATGAGGATTCTTTTTAACCTTACTTTAGGAAACTTGTTCAACTAAAAGAAGTTGGAATGTTCACAAATGTTTCCCCCTTTTCATTTCTCTGTCTTCGTGTTTATACAGGATATGACCAAAGACCAGATTGCTAATGAGAAAGTGGCTCTGCAGAAAGCTCTGTTATATTATGAAAGCATCCATGGACGGCCGGTACGTGAATGTACTGAATTTTCTTTCTGATCGGGTTAAATTATGTGGCTTTAGGAATGGATCTTCAGTGTTCATTATTTTGCAAATGAGGTAGGGTCTCTATGTTTAGAAGATTACTGTATTTTTCACCAGAACTAAGCTTTCCAAAGGCTAACCCTGATAGATGCTAAATTCAATTGAGTTTCAAAGATAAATTAGTTTGCAACTAAAATTTAGTCACTAGTGTCCTGCTTCAAGAGGGAAATGGTAGAGGCAGGGTATAAATTGGTACAGAGACCCCAGAGGGAGGAGACTCCTCTGTGCCTGGTCTGTCCTCATAAGCTGCTTCTGGCTCTAGGCATTCTTATCTATAAAATGAAGGTGCTTAAGTTCAGTCTCTCGGCAATGCAGTTGCAACCAGTGTTTGTCTGTAGAGAAGTTCCAGCTGCCATCCAGACCCTAAAGTGTGAGGAATCCAAAATGTGGCTTTCCCTTTTTATAACAAGGAGCATTTGAGGCAATTTGTTAGTGAGTGTTTATTAAGTGTTTGTTCCTAGTCTGGTGGAAGACGGTAGCATGATAGGAACTTGTAATTAGATATCCTTGTCAATTACTCTTAGTAACCTGTTCAGAAGGTGGTCAAGAACCCAATAAAACAAACTCTTAAGAGCAGATATAAAGAAGTGTGAAATTTATGTTCACAGTATGATTTATATAGCCAAAAAGCATGGGTCTCTTTTCCAGTCTCAGCCATAGCTATATAATTGAGATAATCTTTTCATCTAAAATAGGTTCCTTTAAATAAAGAAGCTTCCAGAATAAAGCACTAGACTCTAAGGTCCATGTGGGCAGGGATTCTGGGTTTTGTGAACCTAATCCTTAGCAAGTGCAAGTCTCAACATGGAGTATGCCCAGTAAACTATCTGTAGAATGCATCTCCCATGGTATTTGGTTCTGAATTACCAGGTTTAAGTTGAAAAAAGAAGAAGCTGGGGATGATGATGATTGATTTTGCTAGCCTGTCCCTACAGTGGAAAAATACTGGCTCTTTGGGATAATGGTCATGTTTCAAGCCAAGTTTTTTTGTTTGTTTGTTTGTTTTTCCCCCCAAGCCAAGTTTTGTTTTGGATTTTTTAAAGGCATTGAACCAAATAGTAAATGCACTGGCACTCACATGTGTTGTGCAA